TTGAGCGCGCTTTCTGAATATTCTGAGCTCTTTATCATTATTTTCTGTGAGATTGGCCTGAACCTGTTCTCTTGCTCGCTGTAATGATTTGTGTGTGTATTTGCAGCAGGAATTCCCCTTTTCTTCATTGCATTTTGGAGAAATGGTTGGTTATTGACTGATGATGATATTTACCTTAATATTCAAATATCAAAGTTGGCCACTCCATTTTGTGTTTATCTATATCGAAATCAAATTTGTGGCATAAAAAGAGAAGACCTGTGGTGTGAGAAAATCAAGTGACGCTGCTTACGACTACACCCGAAAATAAATAAGCCCAATAACAAAAAACATGGCTTAGCATTTTTACTGTAAGTGGTAGCTTTATTTTCGAAAATTCATATTTCTTTTTTTCCCCCATCTATTCTTTTTCTTATATTCTATGCTCAGCATTACCTGGAAAAGGTGTATGCATGTGGAAAAGATAATTTTTCTTATCTTCTTTTCTATTTTCTCTGATTTCTCCTTCTGGAGTGTATTTGTTCACCCCAGTCACATCACGATCGTGTAGCTGCAGGGCTTCTTGTGGAATAGTTCACATGAAGGTCTGCGGGAGGGTAAGATTCGGACTGAGAAATAAAGAATATTATTGAAGGTGAGGAATAATAGAAATTTATAGAGACAAAGTCACACATATATATTGCTACTGGGCATTTAATAGGACGAAAAGTCAGTACCATAGATCAGATAATTTTACTCTCTTACACACAAAATAATAACAAAGGAAAGAGTATACAGTGGATATTCTTTCATAAACATTAAGAGAAAGGATATATTAAACCAAGGTTGGTAAGACCAATCCCACGCTATATTCAATAATTATGGCTCATTCTCCATGCAGTTCGGATGCTTCAACATTTAAGATACTAATTACAACAGATAATCATATCGGCTTCGCGGAGCGTGATCCACGCCGGGGCGATGACTCTTTCACGACCTTTGAGGAGGTCCTCCGCGCGGCGCGTGTGGAGCACGAGGTTGATTTTGCCCTTCTCGGCGGCGACTTATTTCACGAGAACAAACCCAGCCTCGGCTGCCTGGTGCGTACCTCTTCGTTGATGCGAAAGTACGTCCTTGGTGATAGGCCGGTTCGCTTTTCCTTTCTAAGCGATCCGGCCAAAAACTTCCCAACGCATGCGCTACCTCTTGCAAACTTTCAGGATCCGAACCTCAACGTGGCGTTGCCGATTTTTGCGATCCACGGGAATCATGACGATCCGGTTGGGGGCACCTCGGCGCTTGATGTTCTCTCGACCGGCGGCTATTTGAACTATTTTGGCCACGTAAGCTCCCTGGAGTGCATTGTGGTGGAGCCCATCTTACTTCAGAAAGGGAGCACCTTTATTGCCCTGTATGGCCTGGGGAATGTCCGAGATGAGCGGCTGCACCGCTGCTTTCGGCATAAAAAGGTCCATTTTGTGCGCCCGAAGCCTCTTCCCGGGCGTACGTGGTTTAATATTTTATTACTTCACCAGAATCGTGGGGTACGGGGGGTTTTGAGCAAGAGTGGGATTTTTGAGCACATGCTGTCGGGGCTTGGCTTTGACTTGGTGATCTGGGGGAACGAACATGAGCAGATGATGGTGCCGCAGCCCTCCCAAGGCTTCGACATTGTTCAGCCTGGGAGCACTATTCTCACTTCACTTTCGGGGCAGGAGTGCAATCCCAAGCAATACGGCATTCTTGAGGTTCGAAATGCTTCCTATCGCCTCACCCCATTCCCGCTGCGGAGTATGCGGCCAGTGGTGCGGCGTACGGTGGTGCTCGCCAAGGATAATCCACGGGGCCGCACCCTCGATTCCGTCGAGGAGTTCCTGCGCAGCGTCGTGGATGAGATGCTCGGCGAGGCGGAGGACCAAATCAGCCACATCCCGGACGATATTCTGACCTTTCACCCGAATATCAAATTTCCTTTAATGCGACTTTTTGTGGATTTCACGGATGTCGAATCGGCCCCGTTCCCGCAGCCCAATCTCAACCGCTTTGGACAGCAGTACATCGACGTCGTCGCCAACCCGGGCGAGCTGCTGCGGCCGATTCGGATCAAACCCCCGACTTCGGGCGTGGCGGGCAAACCTCGCGCGCGCGGGGCGGGGAACTCGGCCGGGGATTTAGGGGATTGGGTCGTCCCGGTGGCCCCACAATTGGGGATTTTGGACATCCGCGCGAAGGTCGCGGAGGTGTTTAACCAGGGCGCCAAAGACGCGTGCTCGCTCCTCTCCGAGCCCGAGGTCTCGTCCGCGGTCTACGCCTTTGCGGAGAAAGGCGAGCGCGACGCGATCGACGAGCGAATCATGGAGCTTTTGAATACCTCGCAGAAGATTGTCTGGCGGAAGCTCGGAAACGGCGATTCGGAAGCGATTTTAAAGCCGGACGTGATCGCCGCCGAAGTTGAACTGTACAAGCGGGAGATGAACCAACGCTACGCCCGAACCTTGCGAACGGAGGCGGAGGAAAAGGAGGATGCCGCGGCACGTGAGGGGGGGGACACGGGGGATTTACGGAATTTCTCCAGGGATCACCCAAATGACGAGGGCCCGTCCGCGATGGACGAGTATCTCGATGACGAGGACGCCGAGGAGCAGAGGCGGACTGAGCAGAGGTCCCGCTACGAATTATTCAACTCCGCGGCTCCCACCACAACGACGATGGCGGCTTCCGCGTTTGACGGGAATATTGGTCAAGCGCTGGATTTAGTGATGCAGTCGAAGCAACGGAAAGTGAACGACGGGGATGGCGATTGGGGCGGCTTTGGCGTGGATCGCGCCCGTCCGCCAGGGGGTTTGATACCCCCTGGAAAGCATGCGACCGAGGAGGCGGCGCTCGAGGACTTGGAGGAGCTGCCTTCCGATGGCTTGGATCGTGTCTTTCCTTATTCGACGTCGGTGCACACTGCTATGAATGGCGATTTATCCGATAAGCTTGGTGAATCCATTTTATCTGTCTCTCAGGTGGGGGATTTGCCCTATTCGCCGGCCTCGACCAAACGGCCGCGGAATGAACGAAAAGAGAGGGAGGGGGAGCCTGGATACGGTGACGGCGCGGATAACGTGGTGAGCCTGAGCGATAACGAGGATAACATCAGTCAAATGGACCTTGGCATCCCCCCTGCCTACGCCGCTGGTAGAACAACGGATCCAAAGGGTACCTTGCCTAAAAAAATGAATAAAAAGACAGCCCCTGGATCAACCAAAACGAGCACAACACGGCGTAGAGGGGGGCGGCTTGGAGAGTCTTCTTCGGATGCCGAACAGCAGTCTCAGCCACGGAGAAAAAGAAGCACCGCGGCCGCGGCCCCGGCTTTTGGAATGCCCATGCTCAACTTGGTTTATCATCAAGCACCAGCCAACGCCAAGGATGAAAAGGGTGGGGGTGTTTCTCTGAATACAAAGACGCCTTCCAACCCAGCCCCTGGCATGCCTGCCGCACCCAAATCTGCTGAACGGCCTATGCTTAATTTATTAAGTAAATGGAGTTCACAGTCATAAAAAGGATCTACTTTTGTTTTTCGCTGCCTAAACGGATGCGTGTGAAAGGAAGGCTCGTGCGGGGGAGTGAAGAACAGAGGAACAATGCTCTCAGCACTGACAAAGGGACTTTGCCAAATGATTACGTTGACCTTATATTGAGTGAACAACAATTTTACACATAAGTATATGCTCTTATAATTATTAGTGTGCTTCGTTGTATTTGCTCTTCTTAGCTATTAGTTCTATTCCCCCTCCGCGCGCTATTTTCTTTGCCTTTTTTTTTGTAAGCATCGGAGCAGTTTCTTGTATCGAAAAGAGCCTCGGGATCGAAGTTCACCTTTTTTGTTCTGTGGAGTGGTCTTGTGGACTGCATCTTTCCATTCACACAAAGGTATTGTCCCTCTATCTAAAAACAAAACCTTTTCAGGGTGCCGCTTTTGCCATCCCTCATCTTTTTACTATTTTTTTTTGTCACCGATGAGTCTTTATGCCCATCTTAAACCCAACCTGTTGAGAACTTCAACAATCACAATGACCTCGTTGTATCAGAGCAAAAACCTCTTTTCAGTCCGATCAAGCACCTTGCGTTTTCGATTGGGGCTTTTGACTGTTTACAGCCCATATTTACATCCAAAACGTTTTTTTTATTCGGGCATGGATGAATGCCGTGAGCGTCGCTTGAGGCGTGCTGGATCAATATTTAACAAGCCGCGCGGACGCGATACAATGTCGCTTGCTTTCGAAAAGTGCATTCGGATACTCCCACTGAATGAGATTGGGGATCTATACAACCCCGTGGTGGATGGTCTTGCGAAAGACAACCCTAACCACACGCGGCGGATTGTTGTGGTAGACCCGTTACCTTTCGAACATGTCGAAGAGCCGGTTCCCTTTCCAAGCGCCCATCCACTTCTCTACAGCGGGCTCTGGGACCGAAGCGATCCCCAGCATCCGCCAATTCTCGAGGT